AATTAATGGCGGATCAGGGTGAACCGCTCTCTGATCCTGAGAGATATAGAAGATTTATTGGGAAACTCATTTATCTCACAATTACCAGACCTGACCTATCTTTTGTTGTTGAAGTTGTCAGTCAGTTTATGCAAAATCCGCGTACTGATCATTGGAATGCTGTCGTTCACATCCTAAAATATCTCAAAAAGGCTCCAGGACAAGGTTTGTTGTATGAAGATAAAGGGGTACCAAATATTTGGGTATTGTGATGCTGATTGGGCTGGATCCCCTATTGAAAGACGCTCCACTACAGGATATTGTATTCTCATTGGAGGCAATATTATTTCTTGGAGAAGCAAGAAACAAAATGTAGTGGCCTGGTCTAGTACTGAAGCTGAATATAGAGCAATGGCATCTCTCACTTATGAACTAGTATGGGTGAAACAATTCCTTCAAGAACTGAAATTTTGTGAGATCCATCAGATGAAGATGTATTGTGACAATCAAGTAGCTCTCCACATTGCCTTTAATCCGGTGTTTCATGAAAGGACCAAACATATAGAACTTGATTGTCATTTTATTTGTGAAAAATTGTTGTCTAAAGAAATTTGCACTGAATTTGTCGGGTCCAATGATCAACTTGCAGATGTGTTGACAAAGTCTTTAAGAGGACCTCAAATTGAATTTATTTGTTCCAAGCTTGGCATATACAATTTGTATGCTCCAACTTGAGGGAGAGTGTTAAAATTATTACGTAGTGGTTAGTGGTTAGTAGTTGATGGTTGGTAGTTGTTGTTTTAAATGCATTAATCCAATATATATATATATATATATATATATATATATATATATATGAGATCATAGAGTGGAGAATGACATCCCACTGAATTATAAATTTCTTTTTAACTCTCCTTACTCTCTTAACTAAGTTGAAAGTGATGACTCTTAATCTTCAATGTCTTTGAGTGTGAATCTTGTCAATTAGGAAAACATATTAGGTCTACTTTTCCTAAACAATATGAAATCGATGTAATTTTCCTTTTTCAAATATTCATTATGATGTTTGGGGACCGAGTCGTGCTTTTTCTTTTGGCTTTCGGTATTTTGTGACCTTTATTGATAAAATCTTCAGATTTACTTGAGTTTATTTAATGAAAGATAGATCTGAACTTTTATCCATTTTTGTGTCCTTTTTAAATGAAATGAAAAATCAATGTCGGAAGATAATTAAAGTTCTCAGATAATGCCAAAAAATATTCTCTACCTCTTTTTCTTCATTTTTATCTTCCCAAGAAATTTTACATCAATCAACCTATCCTCACACCTCACAACAAATGACATTGCAAAAAGGAAAAATAGGCACCTTATTGAGTTTGCACGCTCTCATAATTGGGGAGATGCAATTCTCATTTCTTGTTTTTTTATTAATCGGATGCTATCTTCTTTTCTTAAAAATCAAATTCCACATACTCTTATCTCCTCGTGTATTTGGTTGTACCTGTTTTGTTCATAATATTTCTCCAGATCTTGATAAACTAAGTGCTAAGACCATTAAATGTGTTTTCTTGGGATACTCTCGCCTTCAGAAAGTGTATAAATATTATTTTCCATCCACCAAAAGGTAGTATATTTTTGCTGATGTCATATTCTTTGAGGAAACACCCTTCTTTTCTTCCCCCATAGAGGATGGTTCCTCTATTCAACATGTGCTTCCTCTACCTTCATGTGACCCACTTATAATACTTGATCCTTCTCCAATTCAGCCTACAGGTCATACTGATTCTCCTCCTTCTCTCACATATCATCGTAGGATCCCTCTTACACCTTTACAGTTTCTATAGATAATCATGATTTAGAACCTTCTCCATCAGCTTCACATACCATGGATTCTTCAACCTCCTCTCCCACTTTTGATTTTGGATGACCTATTGCACTCAGAAAAGATATTCGTTCCACTCATAATCTCTTTCCTATTTATAATTTTTTAAGTTAACAGCGTTTGTCTCCTTCATATTCTTTTTTATTGTCTCTTTAGCTGATACATCTATTCCTAATAGTGTCCATGAGACTCTTAATCACCTTAGATGGCGACAAACCATGATTAATGAAATGAGGCTCTTGAGCACAATGACACTTGGGAGCTTGTCCCACTTCCTCTTGGCAAAAAGGTTGTGGGATGTAGATGGGTCTATGTAGTTAAAGTTGATAATAATGGTAAAATGAATCGTTTCACAGCTCGTTTAATAACTAAAGACTACACTCAAATTTATGGTCTTGACTATTGTGATACCTTCTCTCCAGTAGCCAAGATTTCCACTATTCATCTTTTCCTTGCTATGTCTACTATTCGTCATTGGCCCCTTCACAAACTGGAAATTAAAATGTCTTTTTTCATTGTGACCTTGAGGAAGAAATTTATATGGAGCAATCTTCTGACTTTGTTGCTTAGGGGAGTCTAGTTTAATGTGTAAGCTACATCGGTCTCTTAATGGCTTGAAACAGTCACCCTGAGTTTGAAATTCAGACATGTTGTGCAGTTGTTTGGTTTGAAAAGAATTGAAGTAGATCACTCAGTGTTTTATTGTCATTCCTCTTCAGGCAAGTGTGTATCTTATGGTTTATGTTGATGATATTGTTATTACAGACAATGATTATACTGTTGAATAACAAGTCCTCAAATTCTCTAATTATAGAGAATTTGTGATTGGGAGTCCCTAATGGTTAAATGAACCAAGATTTTACCATGACTGCAATTTTAGAGAGACGAGAGAGTGAAAGCCTATGGGGTCGCTTCTGTAACGGGATAACCAACACTGAAAATCGCCTGTACATTGGATGGTTTGGTGTTTTGATGATTCCTGCTTTATTAACTGCAACTTCTGTATTTATTATTGCTTTTATTGCTACCCCTTCAGTAGATATTGATGGTATTTTGCTCATTTCCAAAGTAGAGATATTGGTCAATTGAAATATTTTTTTAGTATTGAAGTGACCCAATCAAAGGAAGGTGTGATCATTTCTCAAAGGAAATATGCTCTTGATATTTTGAAGGAGACATGTTTAATAAATTGTAAGCCCATTTATATCCAATGGACCTTAATCAGAAATTGATGAGAGATAAAAGATAAAAGTTGTTAGATCCAGAAAAATATAGGAGATTGGTTGGTAAACTCATCTATCTTACTATTACCAGATTGGATCTTCATTATGTTGTTAGAGTAGTTGGCCAATTCATGCAAAATCCTTGTGTTGATAACTAGGATGCTTTGATTTGCATTCTGAGATATGTTAAAGGGGGCCAGGACAAGAATTGTTATATGAAGATAAATTCTAGGTTACTATGATGCAGACTAGGCTAGTTATCCCATTGATACAAGATCGACTATTGGATATTGTATCTTTATTGGAGGGAATTTGATTTCTTGGAAAAGTAAAAAACAAAGCGTTGTTGCTCGATCTAGTGCAGAAGCTAAATATAGATCTATGACACTTGCTACATGTGAACTTGTGTATCAAACAACTCCCTCAATAATTAAAATTCTGTGATAATGAGCAGATGAAGTTGTTTTGTGATAATCAGGCAGCTCTCCATATTGCCTCCAACCCAGTGTTTCACGAAAGAACAAAGCATATTGAGATTGATTGTCAGTTTGTTAGAGAAAAATTATTGTCTAAGGAACTTATAACTGGATTTGTAAGCTCCAATGAGAAACTAGTGAACATTTTAACTAAGTCCTTGAGATACCTAGGATTCAGTTCGTTTATTCCAAGCTTGATACATACAATCTATATGTTCAAACTTGAGGGAGAGTGTTAAGACATGTTTGTTTACCTATCTTTTTGTATTCTCTTTGTATGTTCTTTAGGCTAGGGTTAAAGGTTTGAGTTGAGGCTCATGTCCTCTATGTTGTATATCTTTTTCTATAAATACAATTGTAACAGTGCCTTTAGATACTGTATTGAACCCTAAATAAGTTTTCTCAAGTAAAACAAAAACATTTTTTTAAAACTGTTTTAACCAAAAAGACTATGAACATTTGTTGTGTTGTGGTACAAGACATTGACTTAATTCTCCTATTTTTTCATACTAAAATTCCAAGGCAAATACAAGAGTATTACAAGTTTTACCTAGAACAAGCCTAGGCCAATAACACTCCTAATAAAATATTAATCCTAGTGTTTTTTTAAAAGATCCCAAGGTACTCATGATTATTCTATTTATTATTTGACAGTAAAAAAAGTAAGAGAAAGAGAATTCCCCAAATCAAAAGAGCATAAGGGAATGAAAGAAATGGAAAAGCAAAGAATGAAATGATTAACAACCAAAAGAATAGTCCTTTCAAGATAAAAGCATCATCTTGAAAATCACATGCCATCCAACATCCCTTCTTTACTGCTTCCCTCAATTTTATAAAATAAGATAGAAATTGTTTACCAACCCACCGACACCTCTATTAACACTGCATAAATTTACGACAGAGTGTAGAAGAACTATTGTTTGAATGATAACCATTATACAGCGAGGATAAAAATAAATAAAAGACAAGGTGTTTGAAAGGTTATGATTTCCACTTATCCAAGGCAGTTGAGACATACAGTTAAACTTATTCACTTTGTTGTAATAAATAAAAGTTAAACTTCAAAGCTTTGATATTTCAGCCACAATTCTATTGCCATGACACACAAGAACACTAACTATGATCTATTTCAAACTACTCAGATCCTGATTTGAGAACATGCAAAATTTTTTCATTCGGTAATTTTCACCCATATCTAATTAACCTACAAGATAGAGCGCCAGTCAACAAATAAGTCAGAAAGGTCTCATGTTGAGTAAGAACATTTGCATGAACTAACAGAAAGATCTCATTCAAATAAACAGGACAATTGTTATTATTAAAACAATTATGAGAAGGATCTTGTCATAGACCCAAATTATAAAACTTTCTCATCATCATGCTGAACACTTAACAGCAAACCAGTTTTAAATTCTTCCAATGATTAATTCCCACTAACAATCACTGAAAGTATCTTTCAACAAATGTACTCATAAGTTCAACATGAGAGATTCTATCATCGTGCATAAAGTTCGCCCACGCCTATATAAACTCAGATTTATTAACAAGTGCCAGTTCCAAGATCCCCCTAACACGACCATCGAATATGATCTGCAAGACTGGACCCAAATGAAAACATAACAAATACACTACGCAGAACATCACAGTATTTGACAACCAAGTGAATTTCAATTCCACTGGTGATTTATTTCCTCCTTATAAAATAGCTCTACCAAATAATTAACAAGAGTAACATTCAAGAACCCCACTTTTTATTTTCCTCTTGAGCAATGCTCGTACAAACTGCACCGACCCACCTACAGCTAAATGTTTACTTCACAATGAAAAATTAAAAGTAAAATACATACAAACGCATTTGTAAACGACTACAACTGACAATTTCGGCAAAATTAAAATAGTGACAAAGAACTAACCCATAAATAATAGAATAAAAAAAACCGTGAGAAAGTAAAGGGAGGGAAAAAGGACCTTCTTGCCGATGGAGAAGGAGTATTCGATCTTGTGGGTAACGTAGCGAAACCATGTCGACAGCGAAACCATTGTAAGGTGCAGACACTGTTGTGTCCAGAAGAACAACTCAGCAGAAGAAGCCCTACTCCTCGCTTCTCTCTCCTCTAAAACCCCTAAAATTTGGTTTTAGAACAGAATTCTCAACGAGTTTTTTTTTATTTTTCTTAATCTCTTTTTTAAAAATTTGACAGAAAATTATATATATATATATAAATTATTTATAAATAACATTATAAAAATGGTTAGTTTATTAATAAAAAGTACATTATAAAGAATAGGAAATATATCTTATATTACATTTTCTTAGTTTCATCTTAATTGTTTTATTTAACCTTCATTTCACTTAATCAAATAGTACTATTTAAGCATAAAACTTTGTAAATATAAAATCGAACTTTAAAATTTTAAATAAAATTTAATAAATAAAAAATATTATTTTATATGTAAAAAATATTATTTTACAGTATATTATTTTAGAAATAAATTTATTAATATATATATATATTATATTTACTGCTTTTTCAAAAAATAAATAAAAATTAATAATTAAAATTATATTTATAAACCTATCTTATATTTAATTTTAACAAAAAATAAATAAAAATTAATAATTAAAATTATATTTATAAACCTATCTTATATTTAATTTTAAAATGTTATTATTTATTTACATATATATATATATATATATTTATAAATTTTTACTTATTGTTTATATAATAAAAAATAATCAAATAAGAGATAATTATTTAAAATAAAAATAATTTGATTTTCACACACAGACAAATTAAATTATACATAACGCAAAACACGATATTATAAATATATCTATTGAAAAATGTAAACTCAATGTTCTAAAGTTTCTTAATGCAGCAAGACCTATCTTATCATCTCACAAGTGTTATATTTATTACATGTTAAAAAAAAACTAATTAAATCATGAATTTATTATTTTATAAGAGAAAAAAATTGAAAAGTATTATAGTTAAGAGAAATAGAGAAAATTATATAACATAAATATAAATTATAATTTTTTTACCTAAAAAACGGTTAAGGAATATATTATATATAGATTATTAAAAATAATTTTTTTTAAATTAAAAAAAAAACAATAAAATTCTAAATGTATATTGCTGCATCGAAAACTATCTATCCCGCCATAAACAGTAGTAAATTTTTTGCTGATATCATCGTAGCTTTGAATCTAAAGACGATGAAGTGAGGAAACAGGGGAAAGGGCCTGTGAAAGGGGAAGATTCCTGATTACACTGATTTTGCACTTGCTTCTTCCATGATTCGTCTGCTACTAGCTACTTGCATCACTACCTAACGCTCTCTATCTTAGGGTTTCTTCTCCCGCCACTTTTCCCTCTCCATTTCAATTCCCAAACCCTAACTAACCCTACGATTAACAGCTGCACGGTTTCACTCTGAACGCAACCATGCCGTCTCTCCTCTCTCCGGGGAAAATCCACTGCCTGGAGGTGGAGAATTTTAAGTCCTACAAGGGCTTTCAAGTCATCGGTCCCTTCTACGATTTCACCGCCATCATCGGTCCCAATGGGGCTGGCAAGTCCAACCTCATGGATGCCATCAGCTTCGTCCTCGGCGTCCGCACCGGCCAGCTCCGCGGTGCGCAGCTCAAGGACCTCATATACGCCTTCGACGACCGCGAGAAGGAGCAGAAGGGTCGCCGAGCCTTCGTCCGCCTCGTCTACCACCTCGCCAACTCCACCGAGATCAGATTCACCCGCACCATCACGAGCTCCGGCTCCAGCGAGTACCGCATCGACGACACCCTCGTCAACTGGGATACCTACAACAACAGGCTCAAGTCCCTGGGCATTCTTATCAAAGCTCGCAATTTCTTGGTCTTTCAGGTTTTGCTTCAATATATCTCCTGTTTATGCAATTGACTTTTTTTAGGGTAAACCTCTCGATTAATTATGAGTTAACATAATAAATTATGGAGCAGCAGTGATTTGAAACCTTTAAACCCCAAAAGATAAGGTGTATATGGGGTCTATTTGAGCTAAAAAAACTTCTAATGGAGGAAAATAAGAAGTTTCTAATAGAGAAAGGTGAAACGTTTCGAATAGACAAATAAGAAGAAAAATGCGACGAGATTCTCCATAACTAAAATTAGGCTAAGCACAGATTAAAAAAAAAATATTAAAAAGTTAGAGAAATTTTTCAGAAGAACTTTATAATTTAGCTTATATATAAGTTAGTTTTAGTTCATGAAGAAATTCATTTCAATTTTTCTTGATATAATTTTACCTTAGAACTGGTAGGAGAAAACTGTGCAGAAATTTCCATAAGTAAATATCGAGAAACAAAGTTTGAAATCTTGGGTAGTTGCCGCCTGCAGGCATCGGATACGAATGACGATATGCTTATTCTAGAAAAAAAAATGATAGGTACACGTATGATACATATTTTAAGATGTAGAAGGATTCATTAAACATAATAAATATAAAACTACAATTATGCAAATCTCAATTTCAAATACAATTTCTCAGACGTTGTCAAAATAAAAAACTCTAAATCATTATCATTATAAAATACTATCTGTTATTTACATACAAGAATAACACTATCAATCACATTACTTTTTTACAATAATTCATAGAGAATGATTTTTTTTCTTTATTTTATGAAGAAATAAATTTTTTTATGTTTCTATATTATGCATACTTATATGTTTTATTATGATTATTATTATTATTATTATTAATTTTTTACTTTTATTTTAAAAGCTTGGACATTTAACCAAGAAGTATTGATATCTATGAAACAAATAAAAGCATTGATGCTTCATAGGTTTGGATATTTCATCTATAAGTTGAAGGTATCTAGAGTATATAGTATCATAGAGTGTCGGGGACACATATACCTATTGGGGGACTCATATACCTATTGGACACGGATATGTTAAACAAATTGAAGTATCAGTCCTTGAAAGGGTGTTTTCATAGGAATCCCTACCCGTCCTGAAACCTTGTTAGGGTCATTTAGTTGAAACGAAGCCAGTCTAATGAAGACCTGAAAAAATTGGGGCAAAACTTTAACCTCATTTGTAAACATAATATATGAATATTATAAGTTGTAAAATTAAAAAACAATTAATTACAATTATATATTTTATAATATATATTTCAAGATATATAATATTAATATAAATACAATATCATGTTTTCTAAAACGTTACCTATTAAGTGAAAATGTTGCACTACCAATGTATACTTTTTTAAATAATGAAATATTGGACTTGGGACCAGGTTGGAACACCCTTCACTGCCAGATCTAAAAACGCCATTGTGGATAACAGATATTTGGATAACAACTATTAAATTTTTAAAATATAATTTAGTGTTTATATTATGTATACTATATGCATATAAATTCTAAAAATAATAAAATAATACTCAATTTCATGACATTCTTAATTATTATAATTAACAATAAAAATAATAGGCCTAGGTATCTTAAACAAAACATCATACTACTAAATATCTACAAAAGTCAAATCCAAGTTACTTAGATAGGAGTCATCAATTGAAGTCTCAACTTATATTCTTTTTTTGAAATTGAAATCCCAGAAACATAGCCCCCTAAAAATGCCCTAATGGTCTCTATTGAAAGGTCTTTTTAGGAAACAACACATAGCGTTAGTGTCCTGTTTGCTACAGCCGCTATTTACAGTCAATAACTGAAACTCTATGCTATGGTGGTCCTTGTTGTGCAAGCTCTGCTTCAGCACTACAGCAGCGATGATTAAAACATCTCAGAAAAGTTTATCCAAATATGACATATATTTGTTATTGATCTCAATTGACAATACTAAGTTTTGAAGGGTGATGTTGAATCCATTGCGTCGAAGAATCCCAAAGAGCTCACTGCAATGGTGGAGCAGATATCTGGCTCAGACGAGTGCAAGAGGGACTATGAGCAGTTTGAAGAGGAAAAGGGCGCTGCTGAAGAAAAATCAGCGCTTGCTTATCAGAAGAAAAAGACTGTGGTTATGGAAAGAAAGCAGAAGAAAGAACAGAAAGAAGAAGCGGAGAAGCATCTCCGCCTGCAACAAGAACTGGTAATGGGATCTGATTCAATGTATGTGTGTAGATGTAGGTTTCCTGTGGCTCCAATTGGCCTGCCATAGTTTGATGTAGTTATTTTTGCTTGGTTTTATTGTACTTTTTCTGCTGCTCGGTGATCCTTCTAGTAACTATGACAAGTAAAAAGTAAGAATTTCACCTTCTGTTTTCCTATCACCCTCATATGTCAATGCCTCCACGATTACAGTGCTTTTCTAAGTTTTCCCACCATTGTTGCTCCATTTGATCTGGATAGTTGATTGAAAGTGGAACTTTCTCCTGAACATCCAAAGGCTACTGACAATGAATTGAAGGTGCCACTTTGAGTGGCCTCTACAATTTCCCTTTTTCTGTTACCCTTTCTTTAAAATTGCTTAAGCTTATTTGAGCCTATACTTTCTAATTTCTTTGACAAATTAGCTTTAATAACTGAATTGGTAGCAAACTGTACCACTACAGTATCTTTAATCAAGTATCACTAGATATTTTTTTGCTTTCAACTGAATTAAATATGATGAAATTCCTGGAAGCATTTCTACTTAATATTTCAACTAAGCGTTATGTGTGCAACTATCATCATTTTGTGCATTTTTCTCCCTTGATCTCGGTCAGACTTATTGTGGCAGTTGAAGTTTTCAAGTATCTGTTTGTTTTTTCTCTTGCAGAAATCTATGAAGAGAGAACATTTCTTGTGGCAGTTGTTTAATATACATAATGATTATGTTAAAACAATTAAGGATCTTGAAGATGAGGAAAAAAGTCGGGAAGGTGTTGTTAAAGAACTAGAAAATTTTGAACATGAAGCTAGTAAAAAGAAAAAGGAGCAGGCCAAATATCTGAAAGAGATTGCACTACGGGAAAAAAGAATTGCTGAGAAAAGCATAAAGCTTGACAAGAGTGTAAGTGTTTTTTTCCTACATTTTGGGTGGGGTACTATATGTTCAGATTATTGTTATCATACCATTATCAATTCCAGCCATTCAACTTTTTACATAGGTTGATTCTATGCTTTGCTATTTTAACTTTGTTGCTTGCGGGTCATAAAAATTTGAAGAAAACTGGGCTGGAAATTGCAATATTAAGGTTTGGAAACTGGTTTTGTCAATCTGGGAATAGTGAGTGGTAAAGATGAAAACTCCTGTAGACACAAAAAAGAGATAAAGAGCTGGGAGTTCCTGAAAATTATCTAGTTATAATCATATTGTTCATATTTGTTTTGCTCTTAATAGACTGCATTTTATGGAATTGCTTCTCTGGTTTTCTGCCCTCCTAGCAGCAACCTGAGCTTCTGAAGTTAAAGGAGGAAATGACTCGTATCACTTCAAAGATTAAAAAAGGGAAGAAAGAACTTGATAAAAAAAGGGTTGAACGGGCAAAGCATGATACTGATATAGCATTACTACAGAAAGGCATCCAGGATCTTACAGCCAAAATGACAGAACTTCAGGAAAAGGGAAGGGATGTTGATGATGAGCTTGATTTGCAAGGCAATGACTTGGATGAGTATTTCCGAATGTGAGTGTTTATTTGTTGTAGCTGTTTGCCAATCTCTCTCTTTCTCTCTCTTTCTCTCTCTTTCTCTCTCTCTCTCTCTCTCTCTCTATATATATATATATATATATGTATATATTCAAACACACATACATATATCATCTTGTTCTTTCTCTTTTTTCAAAAACAAAAAGATTTGCATTGTGCACAGTAAACATTAATGCTAATGAGTTTTGCACGCACTTAAAATCATATTTGCCACATATGCACTGTGTACTCATGTTGTTTGATTATGCTGGTCTGGATAGATAATCTGTGTGCTAGACTGTTATGGTTACAAGGTAAAGCTATTTTGTCAATTGGTATACTGTACTTTTCTGTTTGTTGAAGGAAAGTCCTTTAATTCATGTGTGTTAAAATTGTGCATCAATTGGTTATGTTAACATGATAAGGAGAAAGAAGTTGGAACATGTACTCATAGTGATTTTGACCGATATCAGTCACATATGTGTATGGTATTGGTTGCTTATGGTATTTTATTGCCTCTCATTAGCCGCACTGATGTGTTCTGAATTGGATCCTCCTGATAGAACATTTGTTCTCGTGAGGAATTTAATCTATTTCATTGCACTGAATTTCATCAATTCTATCTTCTGGTAGCACATTTGTTAACATGAGAAACTAAAAATCTGTCAGTATATAGTAGTCATCATGTTAATTTTTAATTTGCTATTATTTTTTGTGTTAGAACTTGTAATAATCATGTTTCTATTACAGAAAAGAGGAAGCTGGGATGAAAACTGCAAAGCTTAGAGAGGAAAAGGAGCTTCTCGATAGGAAACTCAATGCTGATAGTGAAGCTCAAAAGAATTTGGAAGAAAATCTTCAACAGTTAAGAAACAGGGAGTCAGAATTGAAATCACAGGAAGAACAGATGCGAGGAAGACTTGAAAAAATTCTTAATAATTCTGCAAACAATAGAACTGGCCTTGAAAACTTGAAAAAAGAACTACGTGTGATGCAGGACAAACATCGTGATTCCAAGTACTTAAGTGAATGTTTCTTTTCTAAAATTTGTTAAAGCTTCCCACTGTATTTAAGTACATCACTGAGGATATTTTTGAAATGGTGTTAGCTGCTTTTGATCTGCAGGAAAAAATATGAAAACTTGAAGCTAAAGATTGGTGAATTAGAAAATCAACTACGGGAATTGAGGGCTGATAGATATGAGAATGAGAGGGACGTTAGATTGTCTCAGGCTGTTGAGACTCTGAAACGCCTATTTCAAGGAGTTCATGGTCGCATGACTGATCTTTGTAGGCCAACACTGAAGAAGTACAACCTTGCTGTTACTGTTGCTATGGGTAAATTTATGGATGCAGTTGTAGTTGACAAGGAATCGACTGGGAAGGAATGCATCAAGGTCCTCATAAGTTTACTAATATTCTGTTTTGTGCCATTTTTTTTTAAATTTTTTATTTATTTTATGATTACCATGTCATATTTTAGAACTCAGACTCTATTTAATGTTGATGGTTTTTGTTGCTTTTGATTTCAATACCCTTTTTTTCTCTAGTAGTGTTGATTACCCAACATAAATAGACAAAAGGAAAAGAAGCCAAAATAGCATTATTGGTATGGTGATGTATATGCATAGGAGCACTGCTTGAGCTCTGAAAAAAAATCAAACATAAATATTAAATTTATTATGAACTTCAGAAATAGCATGGGAAGTTATGTGTTACATAAACCTTGTTGACTGAGGCTCGAGCATTAAGCTTGTTCTGGTACCTCCAAGCTGTGGACCTTCATTTTGTTGCCTTTTAATCCTTGATAACTTAAATAACTGTTCGACTTGCCCTATCTGTAGTGTCATTCCAGTGGATTTTATGTTATGTTTGACAAAGTTTGTCGGTTATGCTAACCAAATTGTTATAACTGCTGAAACCCAAAAGAAACTTTTGTCTAAAATTGGAAGAATGATTACTTTATTTCTTAAGATTTTATTGACTAGATTTTTACATAATTGCTGAATGCTAGAATTTTGGTGTTAAGATTGCACTTTTGCCTGTTTTACGATTTGAAGCTCTATACTTGGTTCCATTGACTTCATTTTCTTAATATTTATTGGTCTTGATTTCTTTGCTTTTCAGTATTTAAAAGATCAGAGGCTTCCTCCCCAGACATTTATTCCTCTGGAATCAGTTAGGGTGAAGCCAATAATGGAAAGATTGCGCACATTAGGGGGAACAGCTAAACTGATTTTTGATGTGATTCAATATCCTTTTTCTCTAGTGGCTACCTTGAGAATCTGGTTCTGATTGTGTTTGCAAATTTGTAATTTGAATCTTTTCTGATGAAACTGAGCTTTTCTTGAAATTTACCTTTGTTACATAGCTTGTCCTTCACAACTTTATTGTTTTGAGTAATTTAAAAAATTAGCAATGTGTGATGTTAACCACATTGCTCGAAATTTCTGAATCTGGGAAGGTCCAAAAAAGGTGATGGGTTGATCACCCATTGGTGCAGACATCACCTTTTCTTGCATTGGAATATTTTGTCCAGCCATTTATAATAAAATATTTTTTGTTTACTGCTTCCTGCTTTAGGTCAATGGCATTATGTGTTCCAAGTAGTTGAACTCACCTAGTGGAATAAGGTTGTTATGCTTCATGCTGCACTTAAATAGTATGTTCAAAATCCTACAGGAATGTGTAATCTCTTCAGAAAACAAAATCATGTAAATAGCTGTTTGTGTGGGTGGAGCATCATCAAAGTTTGCCAGTCACTTGGTTTTGGTAGTTCCAAACAGTTTACATTGTCCTCACCCATCTTGTTGTGTATTGCTCTATGCTTTAGCTTCTGTTATCCCTGCTGTTTCGTGTTGCTCACTAAAATCAAATCCTCTCCCTAATTGGATATATAATTTACTTTTTTCAATTTGCAGATTTTGTTTAGTAGTTCTTTTCATCAAAATGCTATTCTATGTACTGTTGATTTAGAGAATTCCTTTAAGGATAGATGCCATTCTTGGATTATAATTAGGTGGTTTATTATTCTTGTATTTTCTCCTCTTCTCACCTTCCCATGAATACTCCATAAAGTTTTTTGATCATGCTTTTTTGTTGATCTACTTAGTTATATACCTCTGATATGTTGAAAAGTAGTTTAAGTGTTTCAACTTAACTACGGCAAGTTTGATCCCTCCTTGGAGAAGGCAATTCTCTTTGCTGTTGGGAACACTCTTGTTTGTGATGATCTCGAGGAGGCCAAAATTTTAAGCTGGAGTGGCGAGAGGTTTAAAGGTAACCAGATTTTTTTTTCTTTCTATCCTCTACAGGTTCTTTATGTTCTTACTGCCATGCCATTAAAACTTAATGCTAGTACTTAGATGTTCCTTTTTGATCCCATGCATTTTGCCCACTGGCTTTTGTTATTTGTACTTTTTAGACACAATTTATAATTTTTACTTTGAGTTTCTATGTTTTGTAATTTTTTTACTTACCTAACAAACCTTTTGGCTTTTTGGAGAATCCTTTTGTCTACTTGTAATGCATGTGATATAATCCTGGTGCATTTAATTCAATCATGATTATCAGATTGTTAATTAGTGAACGTTGTGCTGTGTAATTTGAATCGCTTAGTTGTAACTGTGGACGGAATTCTGCTGACAAAATCTGGCACAATGACTGGAGGCACTAGTGGTGGAATGGAAGCAAGGTCAAAACAGTGGGATGACAAGAAAATAGAAGGTTTTTATCTTTTTTTAAATTCAAGTCAAAGATTTTGCTCCTAGAATAAACATGTTGTTTTTCAGGACTTAATAAAAAGAAAGAGCAGTATGAAGTAGAGGTGGAATCGCTAGGATCAATAAGAGATATGCATCTTAAAGAGTCTGAAGCATCTGGAAAAATTAGTGGGCTTGAGAAGAAAATTCAATATGCTGAGATTGAGAAGGTACACTCAAACATAGAAGCTCCAAGTGTTTTGTTGTTGTGGTACAATCAAACATGCAATTCTTATTTCATTTTGCTTTTGAGGTTTCATTTCTCTTTTCCTATATCCCTGGAATGTTTGGTGTGCTTGCTATATGTGTATTCACTCTCAGTTGAGAACATAGTTTGTATGATACTTTGGATCTGTTTAGAAAAACTTTTATTTTGGCTTATCCACTAAATAACTACTTATAAAGCATAGTCTTGTTCAGTGTTATCGAAAAACGGCCATGGTGGTACTATGGTGGAAATTAGAAGCAGAATCAGGTGGTGGCAAAACAGGTTTGCATGGTGGCCGCTTTGGCTGTTGCAACCACAGCCGTGCAAACTGCATTGAGAGGTAGAAGATGTGTCGAGTTTGCATGACCCGAACCAAGACTAATCTAGGATTTGTACTTTTAATTTGAGACTTTTGTTGTTTATGTGGGTTGTTTGTTTGGGTTTATACAAGACCCAACCCAATAGCAACCAGTAAAATGGAAAAAAGTTGTGTTATACAACCCAACCCAAACTTGACAACTAGTAAAAAAAGTTAGGTTATTTTATAATAGCCACGAACTAGCACTTCTCCCTTACCGAAGAGATGAGTTGCCGCCACTGATGTTGTCCCCATTGATCAAGGTAGAATGGGTTGTGCAGAAGGTTGTGCTTGGGATTAAGGTTGTGCAAGGGTTAAAGGTTTTACACCAATGAAGGCTGTACTAGGGCTAAAAGTTGCGCAACAATGAAGGTTGTATCTTGAGATTTATAGTCATGGTTAGAGGCTCCCAAAGATTAGGAGCCCTGATACCATCTCAAATTTATAAGGATTAATATTATGCTTTATTGTATCAATTATAAGGACATTGGACCTATAAATACATGAGCCTACTGATTATTTTAGGAAACATGTACAGCTAATTCTAAGGAGACAAATCCCTGTGATTATGGGATTGTTTCTAAATACATAATCCTAGTATTAATTAGCAAGATATGACTGTAATAAAGAATAAAATAACAGTAAGGATAAAATATAAAACTTCCTAAAATACACAATGAGTAACTTTTGGACAAAAACAATGTTCAATAAAAACCAAAATGCTTTGCATCAGTGTGACAATCTTCATAAATTTTAATGGAATATACAATATCCAATTTGTAAACAACAATGAATGACCAAGTAAAGCAGGGTTTATATGAAATTTTGCTGGTTTATTTTATATGTGGAGGATGCTGAAGTTCACCTGAACTGTAGTAGCACAATTAGAGTAATTAAAAATATCAGCACTAATTATTATGAAGTAACAAGAGGATGAGGCTGTAGGTTGTAGGCATGAGAAAGGTTATGTTATATTTCTTGTCATAATTATACATCATATTCTGCATTGGAAATTATATCTTGAGTCTCTGGATTCTTGCATAGTATCTCTCTCCCTATCATGCCTATGCTTATAAGTAGGCATGTCAATGGGGTGGGGCGGGGCGGGGGTGGGTTTTACCTTCCCGATTCCGTTTCCTACATTTTTAACCACCCCCGATCCTTGTTGGGTTTAGAAATTAAGTCCTCGTCCCCATTGGATTTTGGGTTTTCCCGCTCCCGCCCCATCCCCGATCTATATTATTTTTTAAAAAATAATTATATTTATAATAAAATAATTTTACTATTTTTATGTATTTTTTGTACATAAATAAATATTTATAAGTTTATAGTTTGTAATTATTATTAATTAAATATATATTTTAATTTATTATATTTATATTAAAATATGTATATAAAAAAACATTTAATTATTTTTTTATACAAATGTTGAATACTTATAACATTATTATTATAAGACTGTGTTCAAATATTTGATTATATATAAAAATTAATTCCTTTTTAAGTTGTTTAAAATATGAAATATATAGTTTATAAGAAAATATTTAATAAGTTAATTCTTATTTAATTAGTTCAAAGTAATAAAAGTTTAAATTATCAATTTTTTTAATCCTTTAAAATACAATTATTTTATTAAGATAAAATTTGATATATGACAAGTAAGAATAATAAGATCTAAAAAATATGACATAATAAAACCTAGTAAAGATAAATTGTAAATAAAATAATATTAGTTACTACTAATATTTATGTAAAATATTTAGAAAAAAATAAAGAATAAGAAAAATTAATTTTGTTCATCAAATTGATTGAAAAGATTGAAAAAAACAAATTGATTGGAGAGATTAAGGAAATGTTAAAAAGTGAAAGGTAAGAGAAAAAAATAATATAATGAACTAATTGATATAAAAGATTAAAAAAGACAAAAGAATTAAAAAGTGGGTAGAAGAAAAGTAAAAATGGTGAAATATAAAAAAAAACCTTATATGTAATGAAAAAGAAAAGAAAATACTTTTAAAATATTAATATTTTAAAATTTAGATGTAAATATAAAGTCGGGGTGGGGACAAGGACGGAGTCGGGGTGAGAATTGCATTACCCATCCCCGCTCCGCCTCCGACTTTTTAAAGTGGGGAAAACCCGTCCCCGTCCTTGGTTAAGTCGGTTTTTTCCCGTCCAATCTAGAGCTGGGACGGATTGGTCTTTACGGGTACGAATTTAATTGTCATCTTTCCTTATAAGTTATATGCTTAATTGCTTATTCACCAAGAGATGGAGGGCCCAACTTTGGCACTCTCATTTTTATTAGAAAAAAAGGGATGGAGAGCCAAAAATTTCCTCAGGAACAAGGGAAGGGGCTGATTTGTGTATGACTTTATAGTTAATTTTATAAAGTTCAGTGCTTGATAGTAAACCTTTATTGTCTTCGTATGGATAAGAACCTTTCTACATTGGTGACATTTACGTCTTTTGTTCCATGTGGAATATTTTGAGTATTTTATTTTTATTATAACATTACTTTTCCAGCGAAGCATTGAAGATAAACTTTCAAATTTGAGCCAAGAAAAAAAGACAATCAAAGAAAGAATTGAATGTATCAGTCCAGAGCTGAAGAAGGTGGTATTTACATTTCCTGCGATTGTTTGTAGCAATATTCTTGTATATCTGACTGGTAACATGGGTTTATGCTATGCAGTTAAATGATGCTGTTAACAAGAGCAATGCAGAAATACGTAAGCTTGAGAAAAGGATAAATGAAATTACTGATAGGATATACAGAAACTTCAGCGAGTCAGTTGGGGTAGCAAACATCCGTGAATATGAAGAAAATCGACTCAAGGCTGCACAAAATATAGCAGAGGAGAGGCTGAACTTGAGTAGCCAACTTTCAAAATTAAAATATCAGTGTGTTCCTTTTCTTTTACTTAAATTACACATCTTGCTGGCTGTTAACTTGACCTACATAGTTACATGCATGAATGCATTTATGATCATATAAACAAGTAATATGTATGTGCTTTGCTAAAAGTGTTATAAATACCAACTAGTACATTATAAAACTACTATCAAATTGGAGGAAAGAAGATTGATGGAAATAAAAGAGGAAAAAAGAAAACAAACTGTTGATGTTTAACCAAGTCTAGGATGCTAAGTTTTTTTTTTTTTTTTTCAGTACTAATTACCATATTCCTGGGAGATAGAAACACTAGTTGGAGGATTGTGTTTAGATGGTCAGTTAATATCTATCTGCTACCATTAGTTGTCAGGATCTATTCAACACTATTAATTTTAGATTCATAACTCGTGTGGTTTGGTCCATGGTTCAAGTCATAGATTCTGCGGTATAGAAGCCAAAAGTAATTTCTCATGTACTGCATCAAAAGTAATAATTCAACTGAAGCTTTTCGTTATGTCATACGAATTATGGTCATTGTTGCATCAAAATATTCTTTTAGTGCATCTTCTTTTTAGTTAAGAAGGTTTTCAATTATCTAAGAAAATTGATAGAGTAAAATAAATAAATAAATAAATAATTTGGAGCTTAACTTCCAGTTTTATTTGCCCTGTAGCTAGTTACTCTTACATTGTTTTTTGCATTTATTTGTTTGTATTTTTTTAAAATTATTCTACAGGTTGGAGTATGAGCAAAATCGGGACATGAGTTCACGAATTCTAGAATTGGAAGCTTCTCTAAGTGCATTAGAGAAAGATTTAAAACGTGTACAGGACAGAGAAGCCGCAGCGAAGTTAACTGCTGAGAAGGCTACTGAAGAGGTTAACCAGTTAAAGGAAGAAGTGAAAGGTAACCGTCTTTGCTGTATATACTTGTGTTTCTTTGGATTTGCTATGGGCTGAATGATCTTTCTGATCATTTTAAGTGTACAATTTTTGTAGTTAATCTTTAAACGTTAATAAATAAATAAATAATCCTTGAAGTAACTTTTACTTTTTACATTTGTCTTTTCTTTTAAATAGGTCCTAAAGTATTATCTTCAAAATGCAATTTAGTCCTTATAATATATGAACTGAATTTCATTTTAATGATAATATTTAGGGACTTAATTAAAATGAAAAATGATTGTGAGATATTGAAGCTACATTCAAGGATTTTATTTTAATTTAAATTCTAGGATTAAATTGAAACTTCTATACACTTTAAAGGATCAAATTGATCATTCTATGTTTGCTATATTTTATACCCGTTCTTTTGGATTGGGGATATTGTTGAGGTGAAAACTTGGTTATCTGGTTAGAGAGCCCTTTGCTGTTTACTATCTGATATTGATGGGAACGCAGACCCACTATTACTTCATCTTTTTATTTTTTCCTCTTTTGGAATATTTCCGCGGTTCTCTTTCTACTCATGAAGAGTGGAAATCAAAGTCAGAAGATTGTGAAAAGGAAATCCAAGAGTGGAAGAAGAAAGCTTCTGCATCCACAACAAACATATCCAAACTTAATCGTCTGATACATTCTAAGGTTAGATGTGCAATAGTTCTTATCTCTAATGTGTAACATGTACGCAAAATATAGATAGCCAACATCTTTAGTGTCTTTACAGGAGGCACAGATTGATCAGTTAAATGTGCAAAAGCAGGAAATATTAGAAAAATGTGAACTTGAACAGATTAACCTCCCGATTATACCAGATCCCATGGATACTGATAGCTCAGTGCCAGGCCCATTTTTTGATTTTGACCAACTTAGTAGGGCACTGAAAGATAAGAGACACTCAGACAGGGATAGAATTGAGTTAGAGTTTAAGCAAAAAACAGATGCATTGGTATCTGAGATTGAAAGAACAGCACCCAATTTGAAGGCATTGGACCAATATGAGGCTCTGGTGGAAAAAGAAAGAGCTGTAACTGAAGAGTTTGAAGCTGTCAGGAAAGAAGAGAGGGAAAAAACACAGAGATTCAGTGAGATTAAGCAGAGAAGGTACAAGTTATTTTTGTTCCATTTGTCATCACTGGTATTATAATATTCATACATGGCCAATAGTTTATAGTGTGCATGGTTTAGATGGATGCATTAAGGAGTCTTGAAATTACATCAGAAATGATAAATAACTAAATGACTAGTTGTTTGTAGAAGTGACTTTTAACAAATGATTGTGTACTAAACTGTGTAATTTAGCAAATTTTAGCAAATTCTTTAATGTGCTACTGTACACTAAATTTTGATGATATATGATTATTTAACTGAAGTGGATGGAATTACGACATCAAGAGTATAAAAGCATGTGTTTGTCATAGTTTTTCCTGCCTGCCTCTATTGAGAGGCATGTAAATGCAAAACATTATGTTGTTCATACAATGAGAATGCGAACCATATATCATATGAGCAGTTCTGTTGAAATCTTGATTTGCTCTAGAAATTAGTTTCAGAAAATATTTGCTGTTATTATTTAGAGATGGTTAGCATCTGTGTTGCAGTTTTGTTATAATCTTGCATTTGTAGTCCATAGTAATATAAATAAGTTGTCTAGAAGCTTCTATCAGGGTTTCTGATTTATAACTGCTCTAACTATCTGCTTGATTAGAGTCTCCAAAGTGCATCTGTCTAGAATCAAGTTCTGTCCTATATTTACCCCATACTTATAGCTGTGGCTGTTCAGCTCTGTTATAGTGGCAGTCTTTTGAAGAACTCTTTCTATTTCTGTCTCACGCAATTAGTAAGACATCTCTTCTTTACCAGACACATACAATTGACATAACTGTTTCCCTTTTGGTACTTGGCTTCTGATAGGATCCATGACGAGAATAAAAGTAAATATGGCAACTTAGGCTGTTGTTAGTTATAGAATTAGTTAGGTGGGTTTCCTTAAATAGTGGGACAGTAGATCATTCAATCTGTTTTTGTTGCTATCTTTTGAGTCTTGAGAAACTGGGAAAACCTTGGAAGGAGAATTCACTCACGAGAATCTTTGTTTGTTTACAATAAATACTAACAAAACATTCTTCTCCCTTTCCTTTCTGGGTTTTCTCAAATTTTTCTCTGAAAGCACAACCGATTTTTGGTTCTATAACAACTTTGCTGTCATTCTTCATCTTTTTATTTTCCTATTTGGTTATTCCTTTAAGACACTGAGTAGCTTTTGATTGTAATATTCTGACTAATATGGATTATAACATTTTCTTGCATATGTAGTGTTGAGACTGTGTTAATTCTTTCATTGGTTTACGGTACAAAATTAATCAATTTTGTGATTGTCGTGCTTTGACCCATTCACTGTCTTGTACCATTTACTTCCCTGGTGTCACATAATAGAACTCAGCAGAACCTTTATGATTCGTCAAAACTGTGATTAACATCCTTTTATGATCTAATTTGAACTGTGATGATGGTAACATTACCTAACAAAATCCTGAAAATATGTTCTCATGTTAAACAATTCCCATCAAAAGGTCAATCAATTCCTGGTAAACTTGATATTTGATTATTCGCTTATGAGGTTGGGGATAAGTTTCTACTGAACATGTATTGTCCTGCAATGCCCCTCACAAATCTCTCTAATGCTCTAATGAAGTACAATTTTTTATTTTTGGGATTATTCTTTGTTCTCTACCTTAGAGCATGTTTTGAAAATAAATTCTTTGTATTGTTACATCTCATCTGGCTTCTGAAGAAGCTGAAGTGTGCGTTGGACGCAGGTACCAGTTGTTCATGGATGCTTTTAACCATATATCTGGTAATATAGATAAAATTTACAAACAACTTACAAAAAGCAATACACATCCACTGGGGGGAACAGCATACCTAAACTTGGAAAATGATGATGATCCATTTCTACATGGCATCAAGTACACTGCTATGCCCCCAACAAAGCGTTTCCGTGATATGGAGCAGCTGTCGGGTGGGGAAAAGACAGTTGCAGCACTTGCATTGCTATTCTCCATCCACAGGTAGGAGTTATTTTTACAACTTGGATTAGAACTAGAATACTTTTTAACTAAACTGAATTTGAGTTTTGATATAAAACTCATCTAAGCATTATACTGACACATCTCACATAAAACTATTTTGTTGCGATCTGGTGTTCATGTTCCATTGACATTGTTCCCCTACTTGCTTCTTGTTTCAGTTATAAACCTTCACCATTTTTTATATTGGACGAAGTTGATGCTGCGTTGGACAACTTGAATGTTGCCAAGGTTGCTGGCTTTATTCGTTCAAAATCTTGTGAAGGGGCAAGGACTAGTCAGGATGCTGATGGTGGAAGTGGCTTTCAGAGTATTGTGATATCATTGAAAGACACTTTTTATGACAAAGCAGAAGCTTTAGTTGGGGTGTACAGAGATTCCGAAAGAGGGTAAATTTCTTTATATAATTAATTTAAATAGTCATTATGTTGATGGCGGAAGTCCAGTGTATTGACCTGGCTTACATGGTATGCAATGATTTTGCCTTTCGCAGCTGCTCGAGAACTCTCACATTTGATCTGACTAAATACCGGGAGTCCTAAAATTCTTCCAAAAGGGGCAGCTGAAAGCCGCCTGCTCTAGTCAGAGCTTGGTTGCATTTTTTTTTCTTGTTTCAAAGGTGGCCAAACTTATCTGTTTATCCTCTTTACAACCCTCTTCAATTGCCTGGGTTCTTTTTAAAATTATTGTAAATAGGATTTCCTCACTTCCTATGTAGAATACAGTAGCCAGATGTCCTAACTGTTGTTCTTGAATTATTTTATTATTCATTAAGCTTTTTAATGTGCCTTGACTTTTGCTTTCTTATGTGTGATGTGTGTACAGTCCTCGTAAACTCAAATGACCATAAGAATTGAAGCATCTTTGAACTAAATGAAAGAAGAGGTGAAGTTTGTGGAGTAATTTGCGAAGAAACAACTATTGAAAAGTCATAGGGCTAGTGTAAGATAAAAGTTGATCACTTTTACGATTTTTTTTTTATGTTTTTATTCTTAAAATATTATTTTTGTAACATAATAAGTAATTGTGTGAAACTTAAGTTAAAGTTAACTTTATTTAAACTTAATTCTTTGTCCTTCATTTAAAAACGTGAAGAGTTTTGGTACTTCTTATATTCTAAACTGTGTCCCGATAAGCTACATCACTGGCTCTGGGAAGAAGTTAGCGGTGATGTAATTGGTGGTGGTCTTGACCACCATAAAATCTAATCCTAAGATCAGCATGTTGGTCGCAGTAAGGAAATTAATGCAGTTAATATGAAGAAAATTAAACACTGGAGGCATGTCCTTCTCTTTCTCCCTCTTTTTTTTCCACCATCTTCTCTCTATCTCCCTCACTCAGTCACCCTCATTGGTAGAAGCATGATCCATGGTCGTCTTTGCATTGCACCCCTTCTCTAGCTGCTTCAGCAGCCTCTCAAAAACTCTCAAGTTATTTATAGCTTTCGTCACTTTTGTATTTGAAGATTACTATAGTTTTAGAAATTTCTATTTTCCAATTTATATATTCTTTGTTCAAGCGATTGATTTGAAGATCATCACCAAAGATTACTTTACATGTTGAATATTATTCAAATCTATTGTTTTAGCAAAAAATAATTTATTCTTTAACGTAGACGAAGTAGATGAATGCGATTTCAAATAGGCTCAATACGAACATTTTATAAATTGAGTTTTAATATTGTTTTAATATAATATTAATTTTTAATTATATAGAACAGAGTAAATTAAGCTAGATTTCCAAGCTGACGTGAATAAACCATTTTTGTACACAATTTATTCATATAATATTTTATAATTTTTTAGAAAGACTATGATATTGTACCTATATTTTTTTATAATTGATTTTTGTTAAGTATTTTAAAACTTGATTAATTAGTTTTCAAATTTAAAAAATATATGAATTTAACAATTTTATTAATTTTGTAACAATAAAAACTATAATTAAATATTAAATTTAAATATACAAAATTAAATATTTTTTAAAATGAGATGAATGGATTAATCAATCCAAAGTATGTAAACAAAGTTAGAAAAGAAGTAATATATTAAAAACATATTTTTTATATAAATTAAACAGAGTTGAAATCTTTTTATTTTGTTTAAATAAAGTTTCACCTTGACTCCGCATATGAAAAAGGTAGCCCCTGGAGTACACTAAGGATACCCCGACATTTAACTCTGACACTAAATTTATATAGTTTGACTTTTACATGATGTAGGTCTCAATCTTAGAAAGGTTAAACACTGTTCACTGATGTGGTGCATGGTGGAATTGAAATGGGAGCTTAATTTTCAATTTCTCGAGGCAGGTTTTAAGATTGTAATAAATAATGATAAAAGAAATGGTTGTGATTACAACGAAATTGGTGTGGATTGGTTTATGTTGCATGAAAAGAGCGTTGCATGCCAACTAGGTTTGCACAACCCAAATTAAAACATTATTATTTGCCAAATGATCTATATTTGGCGTCACTCAAGTAAATTAATGGTTGAGAATGGTCAATTGAAAGCATTGATCCATCATCTCTCAACACTATTGAGTTGGCACAAACAAGGCCTTCGTGCATGCATGCATGTAAAGTAAGGCCACAACTCCTCGTCCCTCTCCACCCCCTCCGCCAAAATTTTTTGATCAAGGAGGAGGATCGGTTCATGCAGGAGAAGAACATCGACATCTGAGTCGCAGCCATGAACCAGATTGATGAGTATTGCAATGATGAAAATGAGAAAATCGCTGTTGGGATGCCCCTAGTTTACCATTTCCTTGAGAACAATAATGATCCTAGTTTCAAGGTCGACAGCCTCCAAGAATATCATGATTGTGAACAAGATGATGATGAGGATGATGATGATGATGATGATCTTGAGGCCTCAATTATGGGAGATGGGACCTCAACTCCTGCCGAGGTCAAACTCAAGATAAAGAAATCATTGTTGGAATTTCGATGCAAGGTTGAGAATGCCATTCTTGGCAACTTTTTGTTAGGGGAACCCGATAAGGATGTTCCACCAGAAGATGTGGCTGTGATGAGGGAACAGCTTAGAGAGATTGCTCTCTGGGGTGTCCCTTTGTTGCCCAGCAAGGCCCATGAGGGCACTGATGTTGTTTTGAGGAAATTCTTGAAGGCCAAAGATTTCAAGGTCAATGAGGCCTTTGACATGCTGCAGAAGACACTCATATGGCGACGCGAAAACAGCATTGATGGGATCCTCGAGGAAGATTTGGCTTCTGACTTTGGAAATGCAGGATTTTTGTGCAGTAAGGATAGGGAGGGTCGTCCTGTTTCTTACGAAGTTTGTGGGGTTTTCAAAGACAGACGCGTCTACAAGAAGACCTTTGGATCACGTATCAGGAGTGACAAATATTTGAGGTGGAAAATTCAACTTATTGAAAAGGCTTTGAAGAAGCTATGCTTTAGAGAAGGAGGGGTGGACTCCATAATTCAGGTTTTTGATTTAAAGAACGCACCAATGCAGGGAACCAAGGAGCTCAACTCGCTTACCAACAAAGCTCTGATATTGTTTCAGAATTACTATCCTGAGATCATTCACAAAAGTGTAAGTTCACAATAGTCGAGTGGCTGTTATGGCTTCAATCTAAATCGAAACAGAGGTACGATTGATTTTAATTTCTCTCAATTTTTTTTTATTTAATTTTCAGATCGTAGTATATGCTCCATTTTGGTTCTACACATCCCAAGTGCTATTCTCAAAGTTCATGAGCCAGAGAAATAAAAAGAAGTTCATCTTAGCTAGGCCACAGAATGTCACACAGACCCTTCTCAAGTGAGTGTGTTTGACAAGACCCTTAGTGTCTCATTCGTTGTATCTTATCTTATTCAACACATCTTTTGAATATTGTGATTTGTGAAGGTTCATAGCCCCGGAACACCTTCCATGTGAATATGGTGGTCTCAAGAGGAACAATGATGAAGATTTCTCCCCTTCTGATAAGGTTTTAGAGCTTAAAATCAAAGGAAATACTGTTTCCAAAGTTGAATTTCCGGTCACAGAGGTACACAACATGCAATTTTGTCATTTTTTGTTTTTTCAAATTGAATGCACATGCACCTAAAACTGTGATTAATTATTTACCATTTTGGAATTTGCATCATATTGTAACTTGATTTTGGGATGTGTCTAATCTAGCTTGGAGTGACAATAACGTGGGATGTGACTGTTGTGGGATGGGATGTGTGCTACAAGGAAGAGTTCATTCCAGATGACGAAGGTTCATACAGTGTATTACTGCAAAACCAAAACGTAGAGGGTAGCAGCACTAGAAACTCCTTTTACATCAGTGAACCTGGGAAGATAGTGATAACAGTGGAAAATGGGACCTACAAGAAGAGGAAAATGTTCTATAGATCTAAAGCTAGAACCACCGTTCCCATGTTCATCTTGTTGTAGTTGTAAATGACCTCCAACCTTAACTTGATTTGAAGATATTGTACATTCACACTCAGTTACCAACATGAACTTGGGATTGCTGGCAGAATAGACCCCTTTTACTCACTGCTAAAGATTCGAAGCTTTTAGTTCAAGGCTGATAGAGAATCGATTTCTTTACAGATCCATTTGTTTCTAATTCTATTAACTCTTGCAACTCAGCCATGAATTAATGGAATAGAAAATTTTCATTTTATACATGGTAGCATAATGGTAAAAGTTGATTGGTATCTAATAAATTATTACACGATAGTTAACTTGTATTCAATCTCAAGATAATTATAAGAAGTTATTCGTTATAATATATTATTTTTTTCTAAATCATTAAATAGAGTAGGAACGAAAGAATGAAAAATAAATTGATACACTAATTAAATTTAAAATTAAATTACTATAAAATATTAATGATAATTAAAATTAAATAGAAACAGAATTTAAATAATTAAAATTTATAATATTAAACTAAAGTGTTTTTAATTAAAAATGCAAGAATAAAAAATTATTTTAAAATGAAGTAATTAAAATTAAATTGACATAGAAGTTAAATAACTAAAATTTATAAAATTAAATTGTTTTTAATTAAAAGTGCAAGAATAAAAAAATATTTTAAAATAAAATAGTGCAGTAATTAAATTTAAAACTTTTTTAAACGATAACTCAAACGAAATTGAGAATTGGAATTGAAAAAAAGATGAATTTAAAATGAAAATTAAGTATTACTTGAAATAAAAATTCTAAACAATTAAAGAGCATAAATTAAAATAAGCACTAAATGAATAAAATAAATAGAATAATATAAACTGAAAAATTCAATAGAAATTGTAAATTAAATAAAAGAAAACAAACCAGAGGTGCAGATAGCGAGTAAATGAACTCGCTTAACTAAAAAAATAAACTAAAAATTGAGAATAGAAAAGAAAACGGGACGAGACCAAACAATAGTTCACTCCGGAGTAGGGAGATTATGATCGTGTTGTTATCATAAGAACTCTATTTATAGGGGATTGAATAAGAGAAATTAAACCTAAAATTAATTACAATAAAGTCAAATATTTCCTAAATAAAAAATTGCAAAATCAGATTGTTGTGAAGAGAGATTTGAGGGATTGATTTGGAGAAATAATATGCTTCATTCCTACTTTGAGTAATTCAGCACTAATTTTCATTTAATTTTTAATTCTTGCTGCCTTTAATTCAATTAAATTGGATTTCCGCACTAGTTAATTTGCTTGATTCAAAATTTTCATTTATAACGTTATGCAAGTGGGTTGCACAAGCAAAATTGGGCTTCCGAGAAGAGTGAAGTTTGACGGCATCAATTTGGACATTTCTTTCAATTTATTTGGCTTATCTCAAATTACCTCTCTTACAAAAGAATAGAAAGAAATATGTAATGTGGATGCATGCATGTATATTATTTTTTATATTAAAACCATGCAGAATGCAGTAAATTAAGAAAAATTGAATTATGATATGATTTTTATGAAAACATGTTAAATGCATGGTTTATAAAGAAAGTAATTAGCTTATAGAAAATGCTTTTAGATAAAAAATAGAGAGTAAAATGACATACATCAAATACTTCCCACTTTTGCTCTTTTGCACTTCCAAGCAAAAGGTAAAAGAAAAGAATGAATGCATGCAATGCAAAGATGGATACTATTGCAAATGTTAGTAACATCTTGAAAATTACAATAGTCAAGAAAAACTTCATCAACCAAAAGTGAGAGAATAAAAAAGATTAAGATCATAACTCACAAAGTAATATCATGGTCAAATACTCTTTAAGGATTCCAAGACTCATTTCAAGGGAACATCATCTCGTGATAAAATGTTTACTCTAATATTTGAAGTGTTTATGCATAAAATTATACTCATCATCACATCATGACATCATCCTTTACCATAGGCTTGAAAGATCTCTAAGTTCCCACCATTAGAACACATACCTCAGCAGATCAATATGATTTTTCTTGGCTTGTAATGGGGTTAGGGTTTAGGGTAGGCTATTTTAGGAAAGTGGGCTAAGACTTTAGGAAAAAAAATAAAGAACATGGATCAATGTACCTTGAAGCTTTGTTCCAGTTGCATCTTTCTGTTTTGCTACCTTTATGTTAGAGTGTCTTTCAAACTCTTTTATTACTTTGATATACACAAACAAAATGATTTTTTTTTTTTTGCTTTTCTTGATACTTTGACACTTCTCCTTTTCCTGGAATTGTTGGCAGTGAGTAGGACTGAATTTTTGTGACGATTCCACGCTCCTTACTTCCCTTTAAGTCATTGTGGGTAGTTTTAGATTGGAAAGGCTTTTAATCTCGAGTTTAAATCCAAGAAAATGCTAAGTCTCAAAGGTGAGTTCAAAGGATAATTTGAGGTAAGGGTAGGTTATTTGGCTACAAAGAAGGCTTAAATCATATCTATTAGTGTATATGCTCATCTGGTATCACAGATAAATCAATCAAGTTTTGGAAGGTTCACATGTCATGAGTGGCACACACAAGAAGGAATAAGGCTCAAAATTCACCTTGATACTTTGTTCACCCTAAAATTAATCCAAATCAATATTAATGTAACTCGACCATGATTTCCTATGTGAATTAAACCTTTGAAATTTTGAACTCTTCCTCCTGATCAAATCGATCATTTTTTCCAAAGTAGTCTTTCATCAATTTACAATATTACACAACAATTAAAACAAAATATGAGTGAAACCTCGTGCATGAAATGCAAACACTCCCCACTTTTGAAATCAACATTGTCCTAAATGTGGAGAATTTATATTATGAAGATGCAAATAAAAATACAAATGAAAACCAACTAAAACATATTGGGTCCTAGGTCTAGCTCCTCATATGGTACAGGTGTCGAGGCCATCAAGTAGCAACTCAGATTAACTAAAACAAATAAAGTGTTCTTCTGTAGTAAACTAGAAAGAGGCAATGTCGCCTTGTTGAAGTCTTGAATCTAGTAAATCCTGTCAATCTTTCAACCGTTTGATTTATGAATGGAAGGGGAAAGTGATCCTTTCGCATACTAGTGATCCCACTCTTTTTTGTAACAACTTGGATAGTAGATACCCAAGTTGTTAAACATACAAGAATATGAAGTTTGAATATTTTGATGATGATTCAAGAACAAAGGACTTAAAGACTTGGAATCATGTGTATTTACTTGTAATAACTTTGTTTTATGTTTGAGTCTGTATAATTAGAGTACAAGATAGTCAGCACATAGTCCATCATCTAAAAACTCATTTTTATCAAATCTACTATGTGATAATCGATTATCACTTAGAATAATCGATTATCCTGTACTGAAAATTGTTTTTTCTGAAAACCTTGCTGTGATAATCGATTATCACTCAGGATAATCGATTATCACTCAGAATAATCGATTATCCCAGCTAGATAATCGATTATTTACACAGATAATCAATTATGGATAATCGATTATCCCAACTAGATAATCGATTATTTACACAAATAATCGATTATCCTGGTCTTGTTTTATTCCTCTGTGAAAATGTCTCTGTAATAATCAATTATCACTCAAGATAATAGATTATTTACGTTTGTTATGAGTTTTGAAATTCAAATCTGGACCAATTTACGAAAATCCTATTCCCCATTCTTATGTTTTCGAAAATCATTATTTCCCAGACCATATTCTCTCTACTTAAGGTTCTCTGAGGCTCTCTGCAAAATAACAATAATTTTTCATACAAAAGTTAAGAGCTATGATTGCTAGAGAACTTTCTGTAGGGAAGAAAAATGAGTTTTTGAAAACCTAGTGTGGGCTAGAAGCGATAAGAATCACTGAGTGGGTTTCTTGATGGATTGTGTGTTATACCGTCTCTAGGAAAAACTGTTGTTAATCCTTTGTGGATTCAAAGGAGGTGTTCATCTCTTGTGTAACTCAAGAGAGGTGTTATCTAATCCTTATCTTTTTCAATTTGTAAACTGTTGTAACTTGTGATTATAGTGAAAGCGTTAATCCTCTCTTAGATTGATTAACAACTGGACGTAGGGTCTTTTGATCTGAACTAGTATAAATCATCTGTATAATCTTTTTTTCCTTATCTCTTTACATTACAAGCATTTTAATTGGTGAAATTTGGGAAAAATTTCAAAACCCTAATTTTTGTTAAGAAACTAATTAACCCCTTCTCTTGGTTTTTGTCCCTAAACGCGAACATTCCGCTACGCGATTCTAACACAAGTGTTGTCTGAGATGAGACATATGATGTCAGCCTTTAATAGCTTGATCACTTCCTTTTTCACCTCATCATGGTAGGATTCATCCTTCGTTGGGGCTGCCTCATAGTAGGGGTGTCAAAGTGAACAAACCCGGCTCACACGGGTTGTCCCACCACGGGTTGAGCTGAAAATAGATGAACTCAACTCGGCTCACTTTTTGGCGAGCCAAAAATTTTACAACCCGGCTCAATCCACCACGGGTTGGTGGGTTAGGTGGGTTGACTCACTAACCCATATTTTTAAAATTTTTTAAATTATATAGAAGCTTCTGATGTAGAAACTTATGCTTTCTTCCTTTCTTTCTCAACATCAATATCTTCGTTATTAATTGAAATTGGCTCATTGAGTTTTTCATTAATAATAAAATCATCACCAATACAATTTACATTGACACTTTGATGTATTGTTTCAGATTCTATACTGTAAATTAATTTAAAAGAAAGAAGTAAAAAATTCATATATTAAAGAGATATACGTATAAATAATAACAAACAACAAATAATGTATAAATGCTACAATTTTCAAATAAAGATTCATCAATCCAATAGTTTAGGTCATGAAACAAATTCTTACCTTTGAAAGCAATACAGTGAACATGGTGTAGTGGTGCGATGGACAGATAATAAGACAAGTGACCAAAGTGCAGTAACAAATGTAGTGGTGGAGCGAACAACTAATAACAAGTTTAAGTGAGGGTTTGGC